TATTTATTTATTTATTTATTAAATTTATACCCCGCCCCTCTAGACCATGTCTACTCGCGAGTCTTGCTGATGTCAATACGTGGTCTTCCTTTTTTGTGTGGTACAGTCTCTTTGTTCGCAATTTTACTCTACTACACACCAGAGAGTGATCAGTATCACAGTTAGCACTCTGGTAGCTGCGTGTGATCGTAGTGCTAGGAAGGCTTGAACGTCTAGTGAGGATTAGTCATTTTTAGTTTTATTTTTAAAAAAGCCCCCATGAGACCTTTAGCTAATTGTGGCCGTTTTGACCAGATAGGCGGGGTACAAATAGAATAACTAAATAAATTTCAAACATTACTTTTTTCTGTGTGTGTAATCACGTTTGTGTGGGGAAACACAAAAATCACCCCCTCATTACTATCAGATGCTTTCCAGGAGATTAAAATTTGGGGCTGGGAGGTTGAGGTTCACAAGTGTCTCACATACTACACTTTGTTCACATCTAAATTGTCCCGTTTCGCGGGCAATTCTTAACCCCTTCATGTCCTCCTCTAAGTCTCGGGTATCTACCCCCTTGTTTAGGGTGAGGGATCCGCCGCATTCTGCTCCCCAGTCAGGGGTTTCCACTCCTTTCTCCTCCCCGCGGTGGGGATGGTGGGGGGGAAGTCTGTGTCTGGCTGCTATTCTTCAAGAGCAGCGGCACTCCAACCATGGCTTCCACCTTGGGAGCCTCACAAAGATAACCATGGTTTTCTGCAATTAATTGATCCAGCAAGTTGTGCTTGATTTAAAGAAGAAGCAAAAGCAAAATTCTTCTCACAGCTGTGGCAATGGAAGAAAAGACGATCACTAAACATGTCCCACCAAATAATAATTTAGTATAAATAAAGTATCTCCTTGATCTGCCAAGGTGACCTGTTTGCACATTTTTGATATGGATCCACTTGCTGGATTGCTACCTGTAATGCATGAATTTGACAATCTTCCACCTTTATATGTGTAATGCAATGTCTTCCAGGGCTACTGGGCATGTGAATTAAATTGCATATGGTTGTGATTCTACAGCTTCCACAAGGATGAAAACTACAGCACAAAAGTCTTAATTGTAAATATGTATTACATTAAAAATACATCAGGTGGTCAAAGTTATTGCATGTAGGAGAATGTACTGTAAACATAGGAACAATATCCAGAGCCTGAATCTCTCTCTCTTTATCAATCTCTCTGTCTACACACACTTTTCCTTTTATATCGTTTGGGCTGTTTCATTATAGTCATTCTCTCTTCTTTTTATTCTAACAATGGACATCTGTGATATCTCAATTATTTTTGGTTTGTAGCTCTGCAGTTTATAGCAGTATGGTCACTTGGAAGAAAAAAACCCCTCTTTCAAGCATATGACACAAATTTAATTCACTAATGGGTTCTGTATTCAGTTTATCTGTAGAATCGTGGACTAGAAAACAGAACAAAATTGCTGAAATCCTACTGATGTTTGTGTAAAGTATGTGTAACTTGCTGCAGCGAATTATATCTAACTGATGAGGTGCCGGGTGTATCTCAGTCGCACAATCACGTGCACAATGAAGCACATAACAAAAACATACCCCATCACCTAATTATTTAGCCACTGAGGCAAGTCATGTAAACTCTATGTGAATACTTAAGAAGATTTTAGTCAATTTTTAAAAATTCCATTTTGGAAAATGGAACTACCTTGGAAAGAAAGATTAAAATACAGATAAGCTGGCTGGATACCTCAGTGGTTTAGGTATCTGACTGTGGAGCCAGAGGTTGGGCATTCAATTCCCTATTATGCTTCTCAGGAGAAGAGCCAGCCTATGTGGCCTTGGGTAAACTGAGCAGTCCTAAGGTACTCCCAGCAGAAGGGAATGGTAAACTACTTCTACATATTCCCTAGTTGGAAAACCCTAAAAATGTTGGCCATAAATGAAAACTCACTCAACAGGTGACTTCTACTACTACCACCACCACTATATAGAGGGGAACACATCACAATATATTTTACTATACATATTACTCAGTTTGATTATCATAATCTCAGTTGGCCATCCTCAACACCAATTACTGCTACAACACAAATGCTTCTATTTCTAGATCTAAAAATGCAAACAGCAAATTATGTAACTGGAATCCTACTATCTTCCCATTTCCCACCAACTACTCAGTGACAAACACATATACAGTTTCACTAACTGTTCAAAATATGGCATCAATTTGGGGGTTTTCTATAATGAGCAGAACCTATAATGATTGCCCATTACTAGTGTCCCTTTTTGACCAAAATTGCAGAGCATTGCATCAACATGAAAAGCTTCCCCCAGTATTCAATTTGAAAATATTTACATGTACATACATGAATCCTTTGTTCAATGCACTAGTAAATAAGCATACCTGACAGCTCTTCATCTTCCCTGCCCATCCAGAAGCATAGGGAAAGCAAGCTGTACTGTGTGCTGAGGACATCGCCAGCCTTCACTTGCAACCATTTCTTCACATATATACAGTTCATGCTAAAGTGAGAACCCCCCCCCCTTTTAAAAATTGTTTTAAATTATCGCAAGAACTGCTTGTCAGTTGTAAACATACAAAAAGGTGTGAGGGGGAAGAAAAGACTAATCTACTAACTGTTGTAGTCTCAAACAATATTACATAAAGAAAAGAGAAATACTGTGAGGGAAGACAGATTTATCCAGGCTGAGAAAGTCCATATTGTTGCATGTGACCTGAATATAGCATACCACCACACCTTCCCTCCTGGCTTTCCTGATTGCACCAGAGGAGCAACAGATCAGACAGATGCACAGAGAAACTTAGAAAGATGGAACAGTAAAGAGAGATTACAGCTGAACCATGTGCAGATACCGCAGATATTTAGTTTTCTTGCTAAGGTACTTTGTAGAGAAATCAAGGTATGTCAAGAAGATACAGAAGCAGCTCTAGTCATGTAATATTTGCATGAACAGATCTACAACTAATTATTGTTTGTTTTCTGGTTTATTTTAGCTTAAATCTTTTCTCAAAGAAGAGTTCTGTGAAGTTTGTACACATGAACTCAGTTTCTATTACAAATGAATTTGGCCTTTCATATCTCATCACAGTGGACTAAATCCACCATTAGTCCTTCTTAAGAGAAGGGTTGCTGAAATGAATGGACCTGTTAACTACAACTAACTTGTCTCATAAATTTCAGTTGGTCTACTGCAAGGGCTTACTATGGATTTAGCTCAATATGCCTATTACATGCTGTGGAATATTCTGTGAAAAGTCATTCATGGCAAAGTGGCACTGTGTCAGTGGCTTGTGGATGGAAGGAAGTATGCAGTGAAGAGGTGTGAAACTAACAAGTGAGAAATCATATGTGCCAAAATAATTAGAAAAGTATTTTTGTAACTGCAAGAATACTCACTCATGAGTGTGTGCTTCTCAGTTTTTCTCCTTGCAACAAAGGCAAAATTGAAATATCCCAAAACAATTAAGCTAGAATATTTACACACACACAGACACAAAACCAAATGAAATACAGAAAACAAGATTCTGTAATAATCATGCAACTGATTACCAAATGATAATATTGTCCCAGTAATCCACACTGTCTGAAAGGAAGCCCTATTTGTTCACTTACAATAAAAAGAATGAAACTGCTGATGCGGAATAGGTCACACCCTTCAAGAAGCTAAGAATGTGTGCAGTAAAAGCTATTTAAGCAGAAATAAGTTTGTTAAAGCAGGCAGCATCTTGTTCAGTAAGGAATCAAGTGAAATAGAAAATTCAAGTTGAAGATGGTCTTGGAGCAGAAATGTAATCCCATGTTACCTGTAACTGCTGTGAACTGTCATTGAGATTGTCTTCCCGCCGCCTTGCTTCTTCCAACATCTGTGCACTCTTTTTCTTCTCCACTTGCTCTTTGTGTTTCAGATTCGCTACTTTTTTGTTCTGATCTTTAATTTGCCTGTAAAGAGAAAAGTAGGGAAGTAAATACTTATGCCTCCTACACATTAAAAATCAGATATAGAAACATTTTCACATTCAGTGTAGATGCCGTAAGTATTATTAGAATACTAATATTCTAACTAATGACTGATTCTCTAGAATACTTATCTATGAGTAGTCTGAAAATTACCTTTCTTCATTTTAGCAACAATAATGTCCAATAATTCCTACCATTCTGTTTTTTTTAAACAGAAGAACTAGATACAATGTTATTCCTGTAGTTGAACACAATTTCTTGCTTGATTCTGAAATATTTCTCTTTATAGTGACAAAATACAGGGTCTGTTATACAGACCTGTTTTCTCCAGATACAGCTGGGATCCTAGATAAACATGTTTCATCAAAGAGTAACATTCCAAACGTTTGTTCCAATTAAGATAAGACAATGAGATATGCTTCTTCAGGCCAACAAAACGTATTACATCTCAATTCAGAATTTTGTATTGTCATTCCAGATTTCATGTTATTTAGGGAAACATCTTCTCTTAATCCCATACTCTTGTGGGGAGATGGGGAAAGTGTCGGTGTCCAAGTGCTGATGGACTTTAACTCCCATTATTCCAGCCAGCATTAACCAATAGTATTGGATGATGGGCATAGTTGTTCAAAAACTAATGGAAAGTCATATATTCCTTATTCGGCTCTTACCTCTCAGAAAAAGCACAGAAAGCAAAACAATAGTTCCTCTGTAGTGAAAATAATTTCTCATACGCAGAAAGACAAGAACAGCATTCTCCTTAACAGGCTGTCTCCTATGGAAATGTTGCCGCTTCTTCTCTCTGCAATCTCTTGTAATACAATCTAAACACAATCACCATCTCAACAGATACTTACTCATGCACCCAGTTTGAACACCCAATTTGAACAACAAGTAGGACCTACTTCATCTTTGGTACATCAGTCATACATCTTTGGTACATCAGTGGCCCGCTAAGTGACTTTATAAATCGATAAACAATTTAAACAATTATTATCAGGGCATATAATGCTTCAGGAGTTTTTATCAACTTCTTTATTCTGGCATTGATTAGGTAATAAGTAAACTGAAATTGGAATCTGAGCCCCAGGTAGTGCTTGGGACAGAAAGGCAATTCTTGATATTCTCCAGAGACACAAACTTCGGTGTAGGAGAATAGAATATGAGACAACAATTACAGTTAAAATACAATTCTGAGTCTGATAACTGGACATTAATTCCATCAGCACAGACTACAACTGTTTAACAAACTATTACAAAAATTGTACATAATAGCTACATAGACATAAGGAGAATACTTCCCCTTTAGCTTAAGCAATCGATACTAAGTGTATGGTTATAAACTCTGTCTTCTAAGAAGGGATCTATTGGAGAATCCCACTTAAAGTAATACTCTAAAAATCCATGCAATAGTTGCACATTCAAAAGTTTTAGAATTATTTTTACTAAGTGTCCAAAGATCTTGCAAATGAAGTAATACCTTAAACTGTGTTTGTGGGATTATTAACCTATAGAAGATGATGGTCTGAAAAAGAATGAGATGGCTTATGCAGAAGCCAATGAGAGTGCCTGCACTCCCTTTGTGAAGAAAACGCACTAGATCTTGAAAACACTCTAGAACAATGCATCTGTATTGTAAATTTGGCAACATTATTCAAGGAAGAAATTCACTTTAATCCAAGAAATTTTGAACCTAGAAACAACTCTTGTGAAATTAAATGTTTTTAGCGGTGGGAAATCAAATTTCATTCTGTTCTGGTATTACTAATTTATAGAGTTGGCTTAGGGCAGAGGGCAGCAACAATACTTTAAAAAAAACAACAACATAATGGAGTCTGAGCCAGTTCAATAAGCTAAGACTATTTAGAATTTTCCAGGAATGTGACAGCTTTAAGAATGATATGGATGGTTAAAACAAATTATGTAGAATTTCCTAATTTATAATCAATTTTGATAAGCACCACCATGTTTCCTGTGTTTCTTTTCTACAGTAAAATCACTATGCCGTTACAGAACTGTAGCTTAAACTGTAGTGATGGAAGCTAAAGAAAATTGGTCTTGATCGGCTGGGTATAAAATCCTGTTTTCTTTCTGCATGCTGTCGGGCTTGGGTTGGGAGGGTAAAAAAAGGCTGGTGTTGGAGGGGCATATGGAGCAAAAAATACAGTACTTGTTTTCTTTAGAATAAATTAGAATTTAAAAATTAAATAAATAAAACTCTGCCCCAGCCAGCTCATCATCCGGAACTGCTTCCTGCCCCGGAAGGGGAGGAGAAGGGTGGCGGGGTGGTGATGGCGGTGGTGGGAAGCCAGTATTCGCTCCATAAGACGTACACCCCCCCCACTTTTTGGGGAGTAAAAAGTGCGTCTTATGGAGCGAAAAAAATGATACTAGGATTACTAGTGACTATGCCTCTACTTTCACTTACATAATGGATTGGTTTATATTTATAAGCGTAACAAAGTAATGCCTTTGGTTTAATCAGTGCAACTGAAACTCAACTGTTTTTGATACTTTTTTAAAAAACTAGTATTGTGATAGTTGTGTTGACCATTGCTGCAACAAAATTTGGCATATGCATCGAGGTCACTATTCTATATTTAAAGTTCAATTTCTTGGAGATTTTAAACTTTTTAAGTCATAGATTAATGTATAAAAGATGCCAAACATACTGAAGAATGAACACAGGACAATCCAACAGGGACTAGAGAGAGGACAATTTGTCAATCCACAGTTACCTACTATTCCACCAAGCAAACCTTTCTAGTAGTGGTTTTGAGAACAGTAGTAGCAGCTATTCTCCTCCCATTCATAGTTCTTTGAATCCTATCCAGCTACCATCTGATATCTAGGGATGAATCACTAAAATCAACATGTTTCCTTAACATCTGTATCACTTAAACATTTCAAATTGGTATCTACCAGCATTTTCAAAGAGAAAAGCAAAGACAACATATTTTACCTCAATAAAATATTTATCTCCTTTGAAGACAGATATTTAGACCTAAGATAGTGCGCATATTAAGTACAATATTTTTGGCTTCAAGTTTAGCCCTCATTTTGCTGATAACTGATATATAAGAGCAGTTTGTGGGGGGAAATGCAAACATTCTCAATTTTTTTTATCCTGTAAATTCCTACAGGAATTAGGCAGCAGGAAGAAATCAGTGGGTTTATAGACAAATGCATAGGAGGCTTCCAAGACCTCCACCTATCTGAAAACCTGCAGATCTGCTGCCACTGCGACAATACTGAACAAGAAAGACAAGTGTTCTTTTGCTGCTTAGTCATTAAGTTGTGTGCGACTCTTCATGACCCTGTACAACCATCTCATCCTCTGTCGTCCCCTTCTCCTCTTGCCTTTACACTTTCCCAACATCAGGGTCTTTTCCAGGGAGTCTTCTCTTCTCATGAGATGGCCAAAGTATTGGAGCCTCAGCTTCAGGATCTGTCCTTCCAGTGAGCACTCAAGGTTGATTTCCTTCAGAATGGATAGGTTTGTTCTCTTTGCAGTCCAGGGGACTCTGAAGAGTCTCCTCCAGCACAACAATTCGAAAGCATTAATTCTTCGGTGGTCAGCCTTCTTTATTGTCCAGCTCTCGCTTCCATACATTACTACAAGCTTTGACTAGGCAGACCTTTGTTGGCAAGGTGATGTCTCTGTTTTTTAAGATGCTGTCGAGGTTTATCATCACTTTCCTCCCAAGAAGCAGACATATTTTAATTTCATGGCTGCTGTCACCATTTGTAGTGATCATGGAGCGCAAGAAAGTAAAATCTGTCACTGCCTCCATATCTTCCCCTTCTATTTGCCAGGAGGTGACGGGACCAGTGGCCGTGATGTTAGTTTTTTTGATGTTGAACAAGTGTTCTAACTTGGTTTATACTTACTTTAAATATCAGTCTCTCTATTGTTTGTATTAGGAAAATGTACAGATTTGCTTTTTAGGTTATTTATTAACATTTATATGGATACCAGTCCAGAACCAATCGAGATATAAACTGAGTCTTAACTATATTTGCAAACTACTGATACAGTTAACTAGAGCTCCAAAACACGTGAGGTTTGGACAGACATGATAGAACGCACAGAAATATGTATTCCACAAAAATTGTTAGGTGATTACTTTAGGAAAATTCTTGTTAAACTGTGGCCTGCACTTCACTGGTGATGGTTATGTCTTGGTAATTTTCAGATGCTCTGCAGGGACACAGCAAAATATCATATACTGTATAGGGGTAAAGAGCTTTCTAATGGAAATGTAGTGCAAGTAGCAATGGCAGGGGAAAGTCAAAGGCTCCAACTATTCTGTGCCCCAAATAGTAACTGCATAGGTAAAGCAAAGGAAAAAATCCTTAGCTAGTCAATAAGGCCTCCACATTCATCCATATGTAGGGTTTCCAAGATGTTATCAGTCTACACATTCTTATTCAGATTGCAACTTGGAAGGTGACCTGAAATATTCTTGTGCTCAATATGCTGTTATGTACAGAATCCTGGGCTATGCAAGTGACACTCATCAACCATATAAGGATCAGTCACTACGCTGTACTTTTCTGATCCTCCCCCCACTCGCCAGCACACACACAATGGAAAGAACAAGTAAAACAAAATAGGGGACTGTAATAAATCCATGTTTAAGAACTGCTGTTTTCAGATAGGTGAGGTCTTAGAAACTGTTAGAAAGAGAATGACTATTTGACTACATATAACAGCATTAGACATTTAGAAGGGATATTCTTTGGTTAGATATTCTTTTGACCTTCTTTGCTTCAGAGATGACCCTGAGAACATTAGGGAACTGTTTGCATTCCATCTGTTCTGCTGACAGTTTACTGAAGAAGCTTGACATTTAAGATGCAAGAGACTGTTCTCTTTGCAAGTATGCCATCTATGGAAGGATCCTGGAAGTGCAGTGTCAGATTTAGGGTATATCCCACTCCTACTTCAGCCTTAGGCAGGAGATTCCCATGTTTTTATT